CGTTGATCGTTTATTGTAGCAGTTATTTATTAAATTTCAAGTTTTTACCGCTGAATTTTACCAAAAGATTTGCAAAGGCACAACATACAGCAAAGAATTAAAAAAGCGTGAACTTGCGTAAATACCAGCATTGTACAAATAAAGATTGAGCTTTGATAAATCGTTGATAAAGCGAGTAAGTAACTTGGTCATTCCACGCAAAGCCAGATTCTTATTTTTATCTACCACGTCGTAATATTATGGTCGATGAACTTGCGACACGTTTTCGTCCATGTACGTATTTCCTTGAAGCCGTAAAGTGATCAAACATATTTACTTGTTAACGTATTGTGTATTGCACAACGTTAAAATATCTCTGTTGTATGAAAATTAAGGTTAATTATCTGTGCGTCATGATAGTTTTACGAGCCTTCAACGTGGTGCATCTAAAAAAAGTTTTACGCAGAGTTGCGAAAGTACGTACTCCCCCGCAATAAAATTATGGTAAAAAATATAAAGTTAGAGAATGAAAAAAAAAGGCAGAGTTATTCCCGCGGAGAATAGTTTGGAATTTTAATTTAACATTTTCAATTTGAGCTGCCTCTTCGTTATTATGAATTTCGCGATTTCAGAGAATAAGTTCCTTTTTAGATTAAAAATAAACGAGGATAAATGTGAGTTCCTTTCGCGAAAATCATTTTCCTTCTGTCTCGAATTATCACAAAGTTTGTGTTATATTTATGTTTCACGTTTACGAGTAACACGAAACTGAATTCATCAAGGATTCTTACTTAAAAGTGAATAAAGGTATTCTTCTATTCTCGCGTCATTAGTTCTGCTTCCAATCTCGTGAAGAACACAATGAGTTTGCCTTCATTTATCCTCGTCGTTTCTTACTTTGTTTTTTTCTTCAACGTTGCATTAAAAGGTTTATTCCTCAATTATCTCAGAATTAAGATACATCTTCAACAGACGAGAAAGCGATTAATCCCATCCACCTCGCTCGTTTAAATAAATAAATAAATAATTACTTCCCGCCGTTCTTAGAACTTAGAGTGCTACGTTCCTTTTAAAATTGAAGAAATCCAACAATACTTTGTACAACAAATTCGTATATATTTGTATATATATATATGTATATATATATATATATATATAAAATACACGCTTAATTAAAAAATCGTATTATCCACGATAAAGAATAAAAAGTGTTCTAACACGGTAATATATAATACGAATGTTCACTCTCATGAAACAATCGTTTAATCCGATCGAAAAACTGACCGAAGTGATAATCATCGTTTCGTTATCCAACAGCTTAAGCGAACTATTATCGCTTGGCTGTGTATCCGTTGATCGGCGAAGCGATTATCGTTAAGAGATTCGCGTGTATCAGGCTCGTGAACGGAACGCATCATCGGCCACAATTGAAATTTCGGATTGGGTTTCGTCGGTTTGTCTTCGATCGGAATTAAACCGGCTCTAAACTACTCGTAATGTCTTGCTCTTACATTGTTGCTTCTCTGCATGCTATTACTCGACCACTGTCCAACAGCATTAACTAGAATTAGGAGTTTCCATTTTTTTCGTAGAATTTTAATAGATTTTCTACGGTGTATTTTTAAAGATTTGAATGATCTATCCTAAAATGTACAGAAGGGGCCGTAAGTAATAGTATCATGCGTATGAAACGACGTTTCTTCGAAGTTTGAACTTTAAATTTGAACGAAGAGAGAATTTGCTGTAAATCGCGCGTGCTTTAAGAAAATTTGCAATAAAATTTTATTATCATTGACTAAATAATAATAATGATTAAAACACCTCTGTGACTTTTTCTTGATATTCAGAACTGTTCTGAGAATCTGGCCGAAAACGTACGTTTAAACATTCGAGGGAGGCCAAAGTTATTCTTCAATTTGTCAAGGCCGAGCTACGCATACAACGAGCCAGGCAATATTTTCAAAAATATTCGTGATAGGGGTTGACTTTGCGAAAATCTATTCTACAGCTATTCCATTTGCAACTTTTATAAATATCAATGTAGAAACAAGCAAGAATGAAATATTGGTACGGGCCAAGTTGCACTCAATCGTGTATCTACGTACACACGTGTCTCATAAATATTCAAACTCGATTTTGTCGAAAACAAAGTTTGTAGCAAACCTTTTATTTATTCCTCCACGCAGAATTATTTTCATTCTGTGATTGTAGCATTATTTACGGTTCACCTTCTGCAAATACAAGCCTGGGTTGTATTTCAAATGTAAATTTTTTCTTTTTTCCCTTGCAGTTTCATTTCTCCGATACGAATTTTACAACTTCCAGCCTAACCAGAATTTCGTTCACTTACGAGAGAGCTAAATTTAATTGAATTTAAAATCTTTATAGCTAACAATCGATCAATTAACAAACAAGTCACCTGGCATTTTTGTAATTACGATTACAGGTATTTACAAAAATACTAAATTATTTTTTAACTACGATTATAGATATTTCTTGTAACAGAGTGTTGAGTAATACGTAACTTTCGAGTTAGACGATTTTAGAGTAGTCGGGTAGTTCCAAGTGTTCTAAGGAAAGTTTCTTCTTCGATTTTGCCACATCTCGTCTTCTATCTATCATGCAACCCGAATAGACAATATTTGCATTTGATTTGTATTCTATTTTATTCGAAACCACGCTTCAAGCACGCGTGCAATTAAAATTTCCAGTGTCGATTGTATCGAACAGCATTTCTCTCTCTCTTTTTTTTTCAGAAATTTTATTACTCTTCCTTTATTTTTTTGTTTCGCGCTTGAAAAGATTGTCATGACGCGAATGTTTTATTGGTTTACAAAAATCACAGAGAACTATCGTAAAAACGTGTTTATTTGAGAATCACAGATTTTTTTTATATTTTTTTTTTTTTTATTCGACGAGAAAACTGGTTTTGATGTTTGGTTACACGTACGCGGTAGTGAATGCGCGTAGATAGACCTCGCGGCTTTGATTTGGCCTACGGTTTGACTTTTTAATTCGCGTTCTGTTGTCGATGTAAGTTGACTATAGATTCGCTTTTTTTTTTTTCTACTTCAATTGATTTCGATTGGCTGCGTGCACTCAAAAAATTTTTCTCGCAAATCCTGTTCCTTCGTCAATTTAAATTCGCTTTTAATTATTTTCACTTGTGTCAACGCGTAAATAATTTATCAATAATATTACAAATGCTTCAGTTTCTTTAGATTTTAAATTTAAATCTACACGAATGATACAATCATAAAAATATTATTAAATAAATCCTTGGAATTTTCACTCATATTCCCATTATTAAAAAAAAAAAAAAAAAAGAAATAGAATCTAATATGCATAAATTAATTTACATAAATGAATTGCAAGTGAAGTGCTGCGTCAATATTCCTCGACAGATTATTAAGGAATTAATAATTCTTTTATTTTCACATCAATTATAGCGAAAATAATTGAAAGGGAAAAGAGAAGAAATGATTGTCACTCTTGTGACACGAATGAATTTTATTCATTCGTAGTTCTTTTCTTTCCTTCGGCGGAAATAATTTAAAAAGTGACAGGACTGTCATTCTTGTCTCCACATTTTGTTCACTTTTCTCTTCTTCGATTTTTTTCTTTAGCGAAAATAATTAAAAAAAGAAAAGAAGACGACGAGCGTCTCTCGTTTCCAAATTTTGTTTCTCCACGATCCGCTTTCCGGGGATTTTCTAAACATTTCCCTCTCGTTCGTGGTTCATTTTTTTTCTCTTGAGAAATCTAGTTTTCAGCCGTCGTCTGTCTCGCGTTACATTCCCCTCTAATTTTTGTTTGTCCGTGCTCAGACAGAACTGGATGCACCCATCCGCGAAGCGTGCGACGTAAATTTTTCATTCTCGACGCCGTGAAAATTCGGAGGTCCTCCGTACGTCCGTATCACACCGCTGGCGATGTTGAAAATTCAATTCCATCGGGTTCCGATCGATTGCGGTCCTCCCGGCTGGAGGATACATCTGAAATTCCACAACGTGTCGCCCTTTCTTCCAAATATTTTCACGTTCGCTTCAGTACTGTTTAAAAATTCATCCATTGTTTCTCCCCCTTCGAATTTTATTTCTCTAACACGAGCGTAGCTCGACCGTTTCGTTCTTCAATTACATCATCGTTCCTTCGTTACTTAATAACTTCACGGCGAGTCTCTGTTCCTTCGAGATACAGAAGCAATTTGGTTAGATTTACGATATGGACTTTATTGCTCGTTATTTTTCAGATTAACGTTTTAATTTCCTCGTTCGTGTTGCTCTTTATTGCCGGAAGAGCTCCAAATCTTAATTTAGAAAATATTCTTCTTTCATTGTAATTTTGTTTCATTACTTAATTATTCTGTTTGTTACCAACGATTGGCCAAATTTATGATACGGACTTAATTTTCCGCTCTTTTTGAGATTGAGAGTACTCTACTTTCTTTTTCAGTTTTCTTATCACGCAGAAAGAACTCTAAAAAACGGTGCTTTCTAAATTAGAATTTTTATCAAACCCATTTACTAAATATCGTAACGAGTACCCTGCTTCGGATATTTTCTACATTTTCCCGTATAATTCGATATCAAATAAATCAATGAAAATGCAAAATTTTTAAATCTCACCTCTCTCACATTTTGCATTGCTGCCACAGATATAATATTGAACATTCTTCGTAGCGTAATTTTACGCAAAATTGTCGTAACGTTACAATTTAAAATAATTCAATTAACAACAACAAAAGATTATTGTTACAGTAGGAATTTTTTTGCCAAACTTTTTTTGAAACGAATTGTACACAAAAATCCACTAACAAAATCATTCTGAATCAAATGGAAATGGTCCAGAATCCGTATCGTAAACTCGGTCGTCCACGTGCACCTCCAACGCTATTTTTCCACAAAAATAATATCTTCGTGTTTCTCGAAGACAGCTATGCTGATGATATCTTTCGTTTCATTCGACTGGTGGTACTCTTATTTTTATTGACTTGAAAATCTTGCCCTTTTTTTCAGGATTCCTTTGGCCCAATAATTCCAAGGATATTCAACGATTCAAAATGGGAAGCAGATTCTCGCGTAATCGCACTCCAGTGGTGGCAAGCAAACCACTCGATGGTTTTACCACTGCTCTCGCGTGTCACGGGTAATTTCCCATCAGACGGTATGTTTTCCCAATTGACATTTCCCATCGACACTCATTGTTCGTTCGATTTTCTTTCCTCGCTCGTTGAACTCACGTTTCCCTCCTTTTTTTCTTTCTTTTCTTCTTTCAAGCCACGTCTTTCAGGGAACTGCGTTGAGAAATCATCAATCTGGCCGTTGAATCAGGATCGCTCGCAGTTCTCAACGTTCGGCAACGTGCTCTTAGCATAATTGAAGGGAATTTACTTTGCAAGTTTTATTAACTACCGAAATATGTAAATATTGATAATTAATACACCGTGTATTGCGACAAGCGATTTAGTTAATCAACGAAGTGAACGTTTCGTGCTAGAATATCACTTGGATCTTGACTTTGCCTTGCGAAGATCGAAATCGATGTACGCGGAGTGCCGTATAATGAAAGCAAAGGGAAGAAATACAAACTATTAATGTGTACTTTACGTTTGCACGGTGTGCATGTACGCTTTAACAAAAATTATTACCGAATCACATTCAGATCTTTCAGTAGAAATATTTTTCTAATATTTTTTTTACTAGAAATATCTGAAAACTATGAAAACTGAGAGTGATCTGAATTGAAATATTAATTCAATTATTTTTTTTCCCAACCACTTTTTCCAGTCGCCTTTGTCTTTAATTATTAACAATTTAATCAGTAACTTTTTAAACAGTAGGTATATTTTAAAGCGTAGACTACGTATATAAGTCCATGATCGAAAAATTGTTAAAAATTCGAATTATCGAATTATTTTTATTAAAATTAAACTATTAAAGAGTTTAATCCATCTTTCGCTATATTATATAGTTTCGTATAATTGAGCCGTTCAGAAAAATGATATTATTTATTCATTTTCTTGAAATGAATAAATTTATGGTGACTATGAAATGGTTCGTATTAAATATTATTACTACACTATACATAATTATATATAAATATTATATATATGTATGTTATGTTATTAAAAATGACGATATTATACATCATTCTCTTAAAACGAACAAATTTTATGGAAATTTATGGTCATTTGTTTCTTGAAAACTGAATGTCAATCCCGTGTTTAAATTAATTAAAAAAAGAAAATGAAGTTGTTCTGAAACGCTCAATTAAAAACTGGCAAAACATCGTCAACCTCGTGACAAACTTCTCTGATTCCGTTTGAATAAGTCGTATTAAGCTAAGATCCCTTTCGCACTGAATATACTAACCTCGAAACTTTTGATTTCGAATTTACGACTCTTAAATGCAACGACGATCTGTTAGAATTCAATAAATACCCTATCATCGAAAAGACACGGGAAATCAAACTCGGTGAAGTTTCCCTCTTTAATAAATCACTCTCAAGCTTCGCGTTATTTTCACGCCTGTCTCAAACAAATAATTGAATCGTATCGTTCGAGTAGAATAAATCATCTTCGCATCGGTTCGATGCTTGAAACTTTCAAAACGATTTCAAAACGATTGAAACGCACGCCATTTTGCCACGAACTTGATCGATTCTGCGATACTGACGATCGATTGCACTGGTAGACGCGTTTTCTTACTTCTTTCTTTCTTTTTTTTTTTTTCCCCTCGTACATCTAAATCGAAAGTTCCTATTTTCAAGACACATCTCGTATTATTTTCTTTTTTTTTCTTTTTTTTTTTTACTTTTTCTGTTTTGCTAATTACACACCGTTCAGGATTATCGACGCGACACTACACAGATTTTAATTAGTATCCTCTGTACAACGTTTTTTTTTTCGTTTTTTTTTTTTTTTTTTTAATTGAGACCATGATCTCCCACGGAACGTGAGAACTTCCTTCGACACTTCAACCGAGATACGTTCTCACAATCAGTATCGGCTCGATCCAACTGTCCAAGTATTTTTCGAGCGTCTGGTTGTTTCTTGCCTCGCCAGACAATTACGTTTATACCCTAAGAGAATTTTCTTTTTTCTCTCTTTCAATTCTTTCTTTCCTTTTGTTAGTGTTCTTCTTCTCTCCACAGTTGCATTGTTCACGCGATCGCAATCTCGACTTGAAGAAGCGTCTGCCCCGGAACGCGATAGTTCGTTCTTGCTGCCCCGGTCTGTCACTCGTTGCGGAGACAGCGCTTCGGATGACTTCTTCTTTCCTTGTCACGAAACAGAAAGAAGAATTTCATGAGGTCTCGCGTTCGGACGTGTGACCACGCGACAACGTGGATCGATCCAGCTGAAAATAGCAGATACCTGCAGGTCGGGGACAGGGCAATCTCAGATTCTTTGACCCGTTCGAACAATCTGAGCGCCAGCGATTGATCGCAGTCGTCGACTCTACGGAGTCGTTAACGCGTTGACTGTCACGATTTGGCGATATTATTGTGAAAAGTTGTAAACAATTTCTTCTAAATTGTCGAAGTTGAAAAGTAAGGGACACGTCCCGATCATTTTCGTTTGTTGTTTCAGTTTGTGATTCATTAATTTATAATTTATGATTATTTGTTAATTTATAATTTATATGGAGGAATAATAGAATATATAATTTCTGATTTTAGATTATTCGAACGATGTGAATTCACACGCGGGACGCTCTGTCTACTTAATCGAAATAAAACATTCATCGACGTTTATAGAACTGAAACACTTAATTACCTATTTATAAATGTATGACATAACGTAAAATATATATGTAAAACATGAAAAAAAAAAAAAAAAAAAGGAACGTAGGCCAGTCAACGCGTTAACACTCGTCGATCATCGAACGCCCACGAATTACAACAACATTTACTCATGGATCGATTTTTCCAGGAAGTTCCTCTCAGAAGCTACATCCTCAATTCGTCACAATGAAATCTCAATGAAATCTCCGAGTATCTTTGGTCTCGATCAACGTGACGAACAACAACAGGTCCACCGATTAGCCAGTTATTCAAGAAACTACGAAAGTAAGTTAGCTGTTCGCGAGATGATCTACGACCTCGGTTCGCGACAAGCCATAGACATCAACAACGAGCATCGGAGCCTGCCAAAAGGTTCCCGATCGCAGCGATTCACAGTTGATCGAGGTCGGTCTCGAGGGTGTCGCGATCGCCGGAGCGATCGTGGTTACCCCGTGATCACAGGAAACTCTCGTTCGGCGCGCTGGTGGCCACGTCGATCGCCTCGATCCCCTGATTGTTCAGACGTTCCACGTCGTCCATCTCGCCGGTCTTGATCTCGCAGTTGTTGATTGGGTCGCCGTACTGGCTCTGATAGAACTCCTCCCTCATCATGTGGTTCAGGTTACTGCAGCGGAAGTAGAGGATCTCGCGGAACGGTTTTCTGAAGTCTCTGTTGAGCGTCGCGTAGATAATTGGGTTCAACAGGCTGTTGCAGTAACCGAGCCATAGGAACAGGCTCGAGAGGAACGCCGGTATGGCGTCCGGATCCTTGAGGAACGGCCTGACAAGGGCGAGCACGAAGAACGGCAGCCAGCAGACGATGAACGCGCTCATTATGATGCCAAGGGTGGTGCTGGCTTTCCTCTCCTTCGCCAAGTGAAACCTCAGTTTCTTCTGGTGGGGCGAGTTCGTCACGCTGCAGGTGCTGTTCAGGTGGTTTCGCACGATCGTCGACTTGGTCGACGCCATCGGCGGCGTGGTCGTCGTGGACGACGTGAGGACGGGCTTCTCGAGCTTCTGCAGCATCGGGCACTGGGACTCGTTGCTCTTGCGGGGCCCGCCGGCGAAACATCGCACCGCGTGACCGCTGCACTGCAACACCAAAGTTGAAGCCTTATTAAATTTGTACACTTATATACTTATATTACATGATTTAGAACTGGCCTCTTCCCTTTTTCGCAGTTTCTATTATACATATTATATCATTATATTACACAATATGAAAATAGATATAAAATATCCGAGGTTTAATATTTTTATATCAATATTTATATTAATATCAATATCAAATATCAAATTTATATTAATATTAATATACATATATTTGTATTTATATTAATATCAAATTTATTATATTTATTATATTTATATTTATATTGTTATTTATATTAATTAATATCAAAATTATATTATTTATATTAAATAATAATATTAATTTATATTATTATTTATATATTATTTATAATTTATATTAATTATATTATTATTTATATTAATATCAAATTTATATTATAATTTGTATCAATATCAAATATATAATCAATATCAAATTATATTAATATCAAATTTATATTAATATTTATATCAATATCAAATTTGTATTATTATTTATATTAATATCAATATCAAATATGTATTAATATTAATATCAATATCAAATATATATTAATATTTATATTAATATGAAATTTATATTAATATTTATATGAATATTTTCCAACCTTCTAATTATGTTCCTAAAAGAAATATGTATTTGCATAAAGATCCGCAGTCTTTGACTGCATTTTCGTGGATGTATCTATCCAACAGACGGATAGCTTTGAAAGAGTTGGAGTCTCTTTCGCGGAGACTTTCGAATGCGTCCTTTTTGACGGTTGTTAACTGTGCACGATGATCGATTCGTTGGTATGCACGATATATATATATATGTATATATGGCGTTTCTGTTGTGGTTTGAACTTCTGTGAGCTTGACATTTTTTGACTGCAACGAATGGACGGAGGAATGGTGGTCAACCTTCGCGGTTGAACTGATATGGCCATTTAAGTAAAGGTTTGGTTAACAAATAATCCAACATGTATTTCATATAGAACAGACGAAGAATCGTATTTTAGAAAATTGTCATTCAAGAATAATTTTATGAGCTTCTCAAATCGTATCTTTGGGAAATTGTTATTTAAAAATAATTTTATAAGCTTCTTAAAGCGTACGCATCGCAGCATATATTATATTACAATAAAAAGGAGAGTCTTTAATTGTGTTATCAAAAACAAATCTCAGCAAGAAAATACAATATAGTATTTAAAATATAATTCCACATCGATGCAAATTTAACGAGAGACAATTAGACAGCAATTACTCTATTAAAACAAATCACTTGATGGCACCTCGTCATGTAAGAACTTGCGACTTCTCTGTAATTTTCAAAATAATGCGAAACATGATATTCGATATAAACAAATGCAATAAATAAAACGAGTAAATTATTTCGAACGGAATTGAACGTTACAGTTAATGAAAAGGAGAAAAATCGATTATTGCGGCAAACAAAAGTTTCAATTAAATTCTTCCCGCGACAATCACGTACAATTAGCGTGAGCAGATAGAAAATATAATTGACAAAGAACGCGTGTGTAGTACGCGAGATTCGCGCACGTGCATTCATGAATTACACGCTACAGGCACGTACCCGAATTGAACTCGCAGTTCTATGGACACGATAACAACGTTACTGCGGTCCCCTCGATTCTTCCGGTGAAACAAATCTCTCGTGTATACCGTGGCAACCAGATACTGATAAACAGTTATCACAGTAAATACGAAACTTCGTGTTTTGATATGTCCACCGCAACGTTTTGTAGATTGCAAGTAACTCCAACAGAGAAAATTATACACAGTGTTTCGTAACTTGTAGGACCCACTTCGGGAGCTGATTGCACGCCTAAAAGTAATGAAATAAAGTCATATAAATATATGTCCTATTTGTCTTTCTTTATGAGATATAATGAATTTTATAAACTAGAGCAAACTCTAGTAAGCTAGTTTTACCGGGGATGGTATATTCAATTTTCATAATAATCATAATTGGGATGAAGAAAACCCACATGTTATTGTGCATTCAAGACATCAACACCAGTTTAGTTTAAACGTATGGGCAGGAATAATTGATAAATTTTTGATTGGACCTTTTTTTCTTGATGGGAAACTAACAGGCGCAAAGCACGTTGATTTTTTGAGCATGCGTTTACACGAAATATTAGAGCAAGTTCCAGTCGATGTTAGACTTCGTATGCGGTTTATGCATGATGGAGCTCCGCCGCATTTTAGTTGAGTGGCTAGGCAATTTTTAAATCAACACTTTGCAAATAAATGGATTGGTCGTGGAGGTCTCGTTGCATGGCCAGCTCGTTCTCCGGATTTGAATTCATTAGATTTTCATTTGTGGGGACATTTAAAATCTATTGTATACGCAACACCGATTGAAAATGCTGAAATACTACGAAATAGAATAGAGCAAGGCTTCCGACAAATTCGAGAAACACCAGGAATGATAGAGAGAGTAACCAGATGAATGACAAGACGCATGCAGGCTTGTCNTCAAATGCAAGGTGGTCATTTCGAGCATCTTTTGTAAAAGTAATTAAAACAGAAAATTCATTGTATCTCATAAACGAAGACAGATAGGACATATATTCATATGACTTCTTTTCATTATTTTTAGGCGTACAATCAACTCCCGAAATGGGTCCCACACGTTACGAAACACCCTGTATAATACGTAGTGTCTCGGTAACTCTATTAGAAAGCGATATCTTATTATTAACGAAATGTTCGAAGAATGCATCGTATGGTCCATAAGAGCTCGTATTATCACGTGAATATTTAGATCATAATCATTTAACAATTAATAAATAGGTTCATAGGAATAGAAATAGGAATATTTTTATTTATAATTAATTTCATGTAGAAAATATATATGAGAGTTGAGTTTAAGTGCAGGTTTCCTGAGATTTAGAACAATTGGAGTTGTTACTATCGAAATTTTAAACAACTGAAATTTTTATTAGTGAATCGGATATAAAAAAAAACTGTGGGAAACCTCGATCGCTAATAGTTTATTTTCTTATTTTTCGACAAACGCGTTACGGAACGATGCAGTATATTTTGTAAAAGCATTTCCCAAGCCTTTTCCTCCTTTCTATTTTACAATTTTATTAGAATTTCTTTTAATATTATCTTTTGTTCGCGAACTTTTATGCAAATTCATGTTTTTAAGAGTCTAATTAAAAAGTTAGAATCTCCGTAGAAAGAGGCACTATATTCTGAACGTTTTATATGCTTTGTACATTGTGTGCGCGAGTTTCCATTTTATAATTTTCTATAAATGCACAAAAATTATAATAACAAGGGCAATAAAGAATTAAAGAAAGATTAAATGTGCAATCCGGAAAATTATTCTTCGTGTATTTTTTTTTTTTTTTGAGAGTTGACCGCCGTACATTACGCATGAATTTTAATTAAATCCAAACGATTTTTATCCGTGGAGTCATTTAAAATTCATAGCATATTTTACATCAGTGTCCCTGCAAGAATTATGCGCTTACGTAATGTACATGGCGATGCAATATTTAATACATAAATATGTATTAAATAATTTAATTAAATATAATATATTCATTCATTAAACACACACGTGTAATTCATATTTTTCATCGATTAATATTTGCCGAAACTTTTCTTCCATTTTCAAATATATGTAAAATTTGTAAAACTTTTACATTTATGATGTTTACTTGAATCGATTTACGCCTCATTTAACTATAGATATTTAACAATTTCGTACAAATATAATCTTTGACTTTATATAACTATCGTACAATCCTCTTTTGTTTTTAAATAAATTTTCCATAAATCTCTCGTTAACAGTTGACTGTAAAAATATTAGCAATAGAGGGTCTGAATTTTTCATTCAGACGTTTTAACATAATCTACACACTATACTTCTAATTTAGTTTATTGCATATTTATATTGTATTTGCATATAATTTAATGCATATTTATTAAGTTATTACCAGGCTGTCAATGTTTATGTAAATTTAAATGCAAAAGTCTAAAAGTTCAAGTTATGTATTTAATGGATGGAAATTTTCTGTGAAAGTCTATAGAGTGAACGTAGTATATAAATATATGAAAAAAACGTCTAAAATAAAATATTTAGTATCATATTAATTTTCTATAAAACTTGAGTTAAATTCAAATTTCTAGTTAAAAATTCATTTTGACTCGCAACATAAAATGTTGTTATAAAATTGTAAACGATCGCACTTTAGTTATTGTACATTAATCGTTTTGATGTCTTGACATGGGTTATGATAATAATTCTCCTTGACAACTCGAACGTAACGTCGGACCTAACCCGTTCCCTTGTCAAATATGTATACATACGAACCCCTTAGGACCTCGACCTGCATTTTGGTTCCACCGGATATTCACGTTATTGCAACTTTGACGGGAAGTTGGTGCGTTGTTCGGTATAGTAAATCGTGCGACGTGAAAATAATTCGAAGCTCTTTAGCCAAACGATTACAGGTAACGTGTTAAACTAGTTAAAGTAATTGGGAAATCACTAAATAAAATTAATTAATTCCACAAGTGCAATTTTTATTGATTATTTTGTGATATTAATAGTGATGAACGTTTATTGTGAAGTAAAGACCATTTTATTTAATACATTATATGTATTGTATAAAATATTTCGAAATTCTATTAATATATATTATTGCAAACGTATGTGTGTGATAAAAAAATTAGTGTACAGCATGAATTATCTTTATGATCTTAAACACGTACACAAGTCCATACATATTTATTTAATTGTATAGTAAATATTACAATAATATATATAATATTGCACAATAATTATTAATATTACAATAATACTACAATAAATTTAGGGATTTATTTTTCAATTTTATCTAATAAATAAATAATAAAATAAAAGTTTACAAAGTGTTTAGAATTTCTGTTTTTTGTTTAAATAGGTATTCAAAATTCCTTGATAACAATTTGATAACTGATTATAAGTAAAAATG